GCTGTCTCTGGAGCCCTTGCGGACAGGGTCGAGAAAATGAGATGAAGGGGAGGCTTGTTCTTGATTGCTGCAAGTAGATATTGAAAGAGAGCAGGAACTCCACCTTTCCCAGGAGATACAGAAGCTGTATCTTCAGGCTGCAGAAGAACAACTGTTGCAAAATTGTCTTGCCTGACTTCATCATATATACATATATATATATATTACGCCCTAGGCCATGTCTGGAATCAGTGCCAGGCGTAAGGGAAGTGGAGACCTGGCTGAAGCTGTCTTTGCTTAATGTATAAATGAAAAAGGGTGCTGGCGCTCGCTGCTGCTGTGGAGTCCCTTGGGAACCCACTGACCTCCTGAACGGTTCTCTTAGCTCACTTGTAGCATCATGCAAAGATTGTCATCCCTGGAGGCAGCGCGTAAATCACGTGCTCTGCAGAGCCTTTCACTCCCTCCAGTCATGCAGGCACCCTGCAAATATGCATGCAGCGTGTCCCGTATACACACTACCATTTTATTTTGGCGTTGCCATGGTGTGCACAAGACAGGAACTGAGGCCTGGTTGCTACCTCAAGAAAAACAGAGTTTGAAGTCAAATATCATGTAAATGGGCTGCTGCCAAAGAAGAAAGCGTGGAAAGGCTTTGAAAGGGTCAAGGAAGGGGATAGGAAGGACAGAGATACCAGCATTTGGGTGGCACAGTTACTCAATAAGGTATATTTCTAGATGGGGCCATAGAAAGAGGACGGAGATGAATATCTCTACTGCGCTTACACACAGTCACGCAAACATGTCATCCTGCTCCCCCTGCACCCCTCCCACACACGCTGCTTAGGAGGAAGCAGGGCACAGGATGGGGGTCAGGTGGTAGATTTGACTAATGAACATATACCAGCTCTCTTTCCCCACGTGAAAAATCACAGCCTCTTTTCCATCCAGAGGCTGGAGCTGGCTTTCCTGCTGTTTCCCCCCGCAGAATTGTGGACTAGGAACTGGAGCCCTGGGACCTTTCATCATTTGATCCCATACAAAATTGAGGGGATCAGAAAGCCCCTACATTCACCCAAAAAGCTCCAGTTCCCACCTCAGTTCTACCCAACGTGACAAAACCATGGGTTGGATCTATGGCTTGGGGGTTGTCAGAGGCAGGAGATATCCTTCCACCAAAACCTCCTTCCTTTTGCATCATTTTTGTCTCTTCCTTGCTCATTTTTAGGCACTCTCTCTTGTGGGCGGTGGGGAAGGGGATGGGTACAAAGCATCACCTCCTTATGGGTCTGTTTTGCCCTTGCCCAAGCCACAAAGGGAAGCACTTAGAGCTGTGGGCTGCCCAGTGGTTATGTTTGTTTTAGGCAGAGGATGGTTATTTCCTCTGTAGGTGGCTTGGATCTCCCTCTCCAATGCAACGTGAATCATCAGCTATGGCTGGCGTTAGGGAAGAGTAAAGATGCAAGTGTCTAATCTCAGGGGTTGATACTCTGCGCTGTAAACACCTGAAAACACTGCGCAACTTTATGACTGTCTAGCAGGGTTAGGGTTTGGGAGTTCTGGCTCTGACCCCAGGTTCCTTGGGAGGGACAGTAATGTTTATCATCTTGTCATAATATTGGCAGCGTAATACCAGGCAGCAAGTAAAGTTTCTGCTTGAGCAGATGCTCCTGCCTGCAGCCAGTCCCAAAGGTACTGGTAGTGCTTTACACCTGTGCAGGCAGCAAAGGTGTACAGTATTGCTCTTACTAGGCAATAGTAGGCATCCTCTGAATGGGACTTTGCATCTCCTCCTCAGACCTGCTGGAGAAAGTGCTCCAGAAACACTAGCTGCCACCTAATCAGCAGAGATCTGAGCTGTGAGATGGAGTCTTAGTCCCTTTACCTCTTCGATTACACCCATCTGGAGCTGGAAGGCCCTGGAGCTCTTCCAGCAGGAGGGAGTGTGCATCTCAGAGGGAAGGTATTTGCCAGTTGGGAAGCAAGGATGCTAACCTATTTGCATTTGCCCTGCGGGCTATAATAGTTGCCTTGCAACATTTACACAGATAGGCTAAGCCAGGCGTGGTTTTGCTTGGGTAAAATCCTATTGGCAAGGCTTTTTGGAATTCCCAAGGAATGGGGTGCGGCTGGGTGCTAGCTTATAGCGTTGGCCCAGCTCTGGTTTGCATCTTCCTGATGTAAGGCTCCAGGACTCTCCCCAAGTCTTCCTAGCATGAAATTGTGAGAGGAACAAAAAATTGGAAGCCAGGACAGCTATTACAGGACAGATGACATGTCGTGGAAGGAGCAAGGCAAGTTGCATGTGCCTTGTCTCCCACTATCAGCTGATGTGAAGCAGCAGGAGAGAATGACAGTGGTTCCTGCGCTATTTCCAATAGGCCCAGGGGGCAATACTTCTAACCTTTGCAGGGGAGGTGTGTGGGGGGGTGTTGTGGAGTAGGGTGGAGCAGTAAAGTCCCCGTTGAAAGGGGAAAAGGGTGGGTAAGTCTATCTCTACTTTAGAAGCGTGGGCAAGATCAAACGGAAGTTTGGCACTTCTAAGGAAGCAAAACGTAAGCCATTGCCCCATGTCCCATGTGGAAGGGATGCTCTTGAGGAGGGTTTCCCCCCAGTGAGGGGAGAGGCAGATGTGATCCTCTGGCAGGTGAATATCAGGATTCCTCTATGCTGGAAGGGTTAAAACCCTATGCCAAGGGTGCAAGTGCCTCTGGGTGAGGTTGGCCAGCATCAGATTCTGTCTGTTTTGCTCTCTGCCAGGGAATGCTGTGGAGCCTCCCTTCAGGATCCTCCCGTGAGCTTGAGAAGGAGAAAGAAAATGCTGTTTGTTTTGATTTTTTTTTTTTTTGCCTGGTTGATCATTTGAGACCCTGCTACTAAGATTTCCTGACATGCTCAATCTGGACATGCTCAAGAAAGTCCCTTTCCCGGGCAGAATGGCAGACAGTTTGGTGCTTCCCTGCTCTAGACCAGAGGTGCTACCCTCTGTCCCTCTGTGTGCAGTCACACATAGGTATGTAGTCACACCATCCAAAAAAAGGACTGGAGAAGTCCTCACCTTGGGAGTGTCCTTCACTGGTTTCTGTGAGCCCCGAGGATCTCCCTTTCCTCCCAGTTTCACAGCCTTTGCTGCCTCCTCCCCTGTATCTGTTGTGCTAGCAAATGACATGCACTCTGTGGTAAGACTGCAACCCTTGCCTGTGAATAGCTGGAAGGAGGAGCAGGGAATGGCCTGGCATATTCCTTACACCACCTTGGCAAAGGCTGATCACCAGGGGATCTTCTACCATCCCATAGCAGGCTTGGAGAATCAGGCCTTGGGAAGGAAGCCAAGCCTTCCACCCAGCAATGCCTGGGCATCTGGCCTCTGCAGCATTCCTTCTTCCCTTCCTACCTTGTATAGACTGGATACGTGCTTGATCGCTCACTTCAGCATAGATGGTTACACCATCTCTTCCTGGTGCTCAAAATTGTACCTTGGTGGAAGGCTCCAGACACAAATGGGTAGAGGGGTTAGGGATCAGGCTGATGCTGGGAGAGTATGTGTGCAGAGGGGGAATGGTAGGACCTGACCTGGGACAACGCTGGGCTACATGCAGGGTATGCTGCACGTGCACTGGTTTGCACCAGCCAAAGATGCTGACGTCGGGGAGGAAGGAGGCAAAGCTAACACACCAAGAGGCCACAGCTTCACACCCGCAGCACAGAGCAGCTGCCGGGCAGGCAGGGCCCCTGCCCAGGTGCTCTGCTCGCTGCTGTAACGTGTGCCTTGGCTCTCACCTGCCAAGTGCCAGCAGCCAGGAGAAGGAGAGAGGACATGCCTGGCCAGGAACTGGCAGAGTGGGTGGGTGCCCACGCAGTTGGGGGAAGAGCCAGGCACTGGGAGGCGGAGAGAGGGAGGGAAGAACAAACTTATTTTCTTCTAGGAATTCAGTGGCCTTGCAGCATATAGGAGGCCAGGCCTCAGGGCACTTGACAGCCAGCCAGGAGTCCATTGAGACAAGTCGTCTTTGATCTGCCGCACAGTTAAAAAGGAGATTGTTAACCTGTGTTAGACAAATAACTCCAGAGGAGTTGCTAAGCAGGAAAAGCACCAGCTGCTTGGGTTGGTCTATCGGGGATCCCACCTCCTGCATTTCTGCTCTACCTTCTGACCCTTTGGGATCAGGTGGAGGTGGTTGGTGGATCTGCTTTCCTGTGCCCCTTCCCCACCAAGCCCAGGCTGGCAAAGCCCCAGTCTCAGAGTCTTCCAGGCACAGGGCTGGGCTTGGGGGCCACAGGCATGGCTGTTCACTCTCGCAGACCACAAGGGGAGCAAGGACCAGCCGTGTAGCTCAGACATACTGCTCTTGGGCCAGCCTTGGGCACAATTCTGCAGCACAAGAGGAAAGTGAGGAGTTTCACAGGCTTGCAGTTGTCACTGGCAGAGCTGCCTCACAAACCCTGGGTAGGAGGATAGGATTATGAGCTACGTGGGCTGGTGATATACCGTAGCCATACTGATAGTATCTGCAACGAGAAAAAACTGGCATCTAACACTAATGCTGTGAGCAGGGAGTGGAGCTTATTCCTGTAACCAGTACCCAGCAATCTAGCTCCTTAGGGCCTGCATTTGCTCTCCTTGATTCATATCTGTTCCCCCTTCTCAGTTAGCAAGGTGACACCTCCCAGCTTGCCTCCAAAGTCCCCGAGTCTCGTAACACCTGCCCACACTCTCCCCTCAGCAAGTGCCAGGGTTTAAAATAAAGTTCCATTTCCTACACATATTAAGTATCAGGAAGGACCAGAGGCGTCTATGCAGGGCAGCATTCGTACACAAATGCATTTAGCTGACAGGTGCAAACATTAAAAAGCCTTAATTTCATTGCCCAGTGCAAAGCTGTGGTTGCAAGCACTAGGAATTGTAAATGACCCCTTTTCTAGAAACTGCTGTGTGTGGTGCAGGAAAGTGCTGCAGAGTCTTTCAGCACTGGGCTATTGGTCCCGCTCCAGCTCCCAGTAGAGAAGTCGTCAGAAGGCATCTTCATTTCACAGCTCTTCAGTGGTCTCTTAATTATGTGAGCTTATTTCTCACTGTTCCTCCATCACTGAAGCTGGTTCCCTGCTGGCAGCCTCAGAGACTCTGAGCAAGTAATGGCTGGGGATCTAAAATCTGCTTTTCTCTGAAGGATCTTGTCCGTGTCTGTTGTGAGATGTTACAGTGCCAGGGCCATAGGGCAAAGTGGGTTGGGTATGGGATACCTTGCACTGTCTTTGCTTGTGTTGCCCAATGTAAGCAGGGGTTGAGGGCTCTGACTCAAGGTCTTTGGGGGATCTGGCTGTGGAGGTTTAGGATACTAGTGCTGTCTGCTTTGCATCTATCCTGGAAGGTTTCTGCCCCATAACATGGGCTGCAGAAACCTTCAGTCAACAATTCTCAGTTAAAGTTATTATTTTGGAGCGTGGACTGAGGAGGGAGCACACTAGAGGCGAAGGGTGGGTGGCCAAGGGACAGGTATGCGTGGGAAGGTACCAGCGCCAAGCACCCATACAAAAGTTGCTGCTGATTTGAAGCTAAAGTCCTCAATGTTTTAAGGCCACCTACCTGATGTTTTTTCTCTGCTTTAAGCCTTGAACGTAGGCAGGAAATGAAGAGCCGTAAACGAGACAGACCACACACGTGCCCTCAACTGCCCATAAAAACCCTCATGAAAATCCCTGCGTTTCATAAACACACGAGCAAAAATCTCCTCTCAGTTACAGGGGTGTGGTGTAGGGCTGCGACTCAGATGGCATTCAGCACCCAGCTGAAAGAGCAGCTTTTCCTCATGAGTAACCCTGAATGAAGACAGCTAGGAGCTAAGCAAACATTTTGGCCAGTGCTTTCTTCCATCTCTTTTTCTAGTCTTTCGGAAGTGTGCTTTAACCAGTGCTTGCTTTCCCACACTACTCCTTTGTAGTCTTGTTAAGTGCTGTCACTGGGACCAATTCAATTCTGGTATCAGAGTAAGATTCCCAAGAGATTGATGGTATTGCACCTGCCTGCACACACCCTGAATCTAGCCCATCATTTGGTGTGTTTAAAAACCTGGCTACTTAAGGTTTTTGGCACTGACATCCAGTGATATGCAAACTTTATGCTTTTTTTTTCCATCCAGATCAGCCCCTCAGCCCACCACCCGAAAAACCCTTTCACGTGCTCTCTGCAGCATTTGTGGTTTCACCGCAGGCTCGTGCCAGAGCAGCAAACTCAACTGTGAAGGTCAATCTTCCTTTCCCCCTGCTTTTTTTTTTAACAGTATGCAAATGATGTGTATTATTGGGCTGCTGTGGTTTGAAAACACACGCGCACGCACACGCACACACACACAATATCTGACAAAGCCCGTGAGGGAGTTTCATAACAGAGGGAAGTATTAGGAAGGTTTTATCTGATAGTGTAAGGGAAGTCTGTTAAAACGCCTGTGCTGCCGGCAGCAGGAATGAGAGGCCACCTGGAGAAGTCAAACAGCAGCAGAGAAGGAAACCTTGCTCTCTATTTGCGTAGGATTCAGGGCTGCAGTGGGTAACCCTATAGTTGGTGCATTTTCTTGCTTTTTCAGACTGCCTACCACTTTGTAAGAGGGAGCGAGAGGGCTCTCTCACTTTTGTTCAGGTTTCAGGCTCATGCTTTCACAAGGGCATGTCTTTCTCTGCATTTCACTGATTCTGTCACGCTTCCTCCCATGCTGCTTCCATCCCCTTGCCTTGCCCCGCTCCATGATGCAATATTTGCACATAACCTCTCTAACACTTGTTTCCCCCCTCCTCTTTTTTTTTGTCATCTGGCAGGGGGACCCCATACCTGAAGACATTTATGAGATTTTGGGAGGCAGCTCAGTGCGCTCCATCAGCGACCTCCAGCGTGCCCTGCGGATAGACTCCGTAGGTAAATCTCCTCTTCACCAAACACTCCTCTTGTCTTCTTAACTCTTTCGGGAGGTGGGAAGGGATATTCCGTTCTCCAGCAGATACACTACTGGCAGGCTTCACTGTAAATACAGGAACCACTCAGGAGCCAAGACCCAGGTATTTACACACTTAGCCCCCCTGAAACATATGGGAGTTAGGCAACTAGATACCTTTTTGGATTTCTTTCTAACTGCCTGGTCTATCGAGGGATGCCGGCTTACAAAAACAGTAGGAGCTGGGCAAGGTGAGACCATGGGACTGAGGTCAGTGCTTTTCAGCCTGAGAGATGCACAAGGAGCCAGGCTTGAGTTGGCCAAGGACCATTTTAGAGGTGGAGAAATGGGGGCTGGAAACAGGGTAATAGGAAAGTGCCAAGTGAGTTCTCAGGTTCAGCATGGAGGGAAGGCCACGGGTCCCCAGAGGCTCCAAGACCGAAGCAGCAGAGCACGTGTCCATGGGTGAGATACAGGACAGGGGCTAAGTCAGGTTGGCTGTGGGTAGCATTGCTTCACCTCCTGCCGTAGATAAGAGCTCTGGGGGCTCCAGTGCCTTGGGGTCACTTGGCCAGGGCCGAGTACAGAGAACAGCAGGAGCGGCGAAGCGTGGAGGGGTCGGCACGTGTGGGAATTGGAGCACGCGCCACGGCGGCTGGGCTGGCCCAGGAATTTATTTATAAACGGTCTCTTCAGAGCAAATTCCATTCTATTCTAACCCTGCTCCCGCCCGTCGTCCCCCGGCCCCCCCAGCTCGCCTTCTCTCTTGTGTTTTGTCTGTTTGGAGCTTTGTAATCCTTGCCGAGACACTATCTACGGGGGAACAGAATTTCCTGCTTTTGTTTCCTATGCCAGTCCAACCACTGGCGCAGTCTCAAAAGCATTCCCGCTGCCTTTCAAAACGGCCCTGGAGGGGCAGGGGGGGGAAAGCGAGGGGGAGGGCACCAGCTGTGTTCAGCTATTGTTTGCCTTAGAAAGAGGCGACGAGGCTCCCCACCACCGCCACAGCCGCTCCCTGCCCTCCCCAGTTCCCTCCTCCTTGTCCACGAGCCACACAATGGGGCAACTTCCAAAATTAGACATGCTTGCTTGTCCCAGGCTGGTCCCCCCACCCAGACCCTCTTCAGCCGCAGCTGCAGCACTGACCTGGGGTGTAGGGCAACCTGGAGAGGGAGGGACACGGTTTTCAATAGCAGATTTGTTTCTAGTCAACAGTTGTTGCTATTTTTTTCCTCTCTCTCTTCTCATCAACTTAACCTTTGCGCAAAAGGCAGCCCCCACCCTTGCTTGATAAAATTCCAGACAACGCAGGATGGAGGGGTGGGGAAGGAGCGGCTGAGAAGATGCGTGCAGTCCGTCATGTCCCAATATCTAAGGAACAGATACATCTTTGCCCTGGTTACTGACAGCCCTCAAGATTAAGAAATAAAGAGGGCTTCTCTTGTTGGCCACTGGTTTCACTTCAGGTCGTAGTTAGAAAAAAACTGGCCAGGGCAGCAGAGGCGGGTGCTATGAAGCCTTCTGTTTGTTGCCCCATGTGGTGCTCTTCAGGCCTCAGGTAGTGACTGAGGGGCATCACCATTTGCTTGCTCTGTGTGGAATTAGTGTATTAGCAAGGATATGTATTAGCAAATTAGCCCCAAAGCAGCCAGGGCTATTCCCTGCGCCATCTGTGCCCTGGGTAGGTGTCACAATTGCTGTCCTCCATTGACTGCATAAGGAGCCAAGTTTTGGCAGCCACAGAAGGTAGATGAGCTGCGATATTGCTCTCCTGATCTTAGACACCGTCCTAGACCCAGCAGCTGAGATGTGTAGAGTGGGAGTAATTTCCCGTAACTGTGGATACCTGCAAAGCAGACATGCCCATCTAAGCCAGTCATCCAGACATGCTCTGTAGCCCACGGAGAACTGTGGGCCCTTTTAGAGCATGATCCACCATTTTGAGTGTCTGCCTCTGGGTGAGATGAGTGGTGTCCTAGAATTGACCACACCTCTCCAGCCACTTTAAAGCATGTCTGCCCGCCTCATGTGCATGCTGAGTGCGTAGACAGATGATTCCTGCCTCATGCATACAGTGTCTATGCACACATCCCAAATCCTTCATCAGTTGCCTCTGAGCTGAGCAGAGAACTACGTCCCTGCTTCCCCTTATAAGAAGGCTTTGCTAAGGCAAGACTGAGGAAGAGGGATGGGACATGATAGGTACGGGAAGTTGCTCCAATACATCTCTGATAAACAGAGATCTTCCACTGGCCCCAAATTCCCTTTAAGAAAATTGCTCCCTTGATGCTGACGTCCATTCTGCTTCCTTCAGCTGCTAAAGCAGGCCAGAGAAGGAAGGAGCTGTGGCTGGGTGGGAGCTATCTCTGAGCACGGCCATTGTCCAGAGCTCAGGAGGGGCTGCATGTTGGAGTGCTCCATGGGGATTATGGGCATTTCTCTATTCAGCACTTCCTATGGGAAAAAGCAGTGGGGTGGGAGGGAACTGCTCAGAGCTGGGCTGAATGCTATCTGTCTTCCTCTCCCATTGCGGACTGAACTACCTCCAGGTCCTGCAGTTTACCTTACAGTAGTACAGGGGGAAAAATCATTTTAACTTTTTTTCCCTTGTTCTTCTATCATAAAACTGACTCTAACATAGAGTGAGCATAATGGTTTGGGAGAGAGAAACCAAGCACTCCACCTCCCACCCATTGTCACCCTTCTCCCTGCCCTCCCACTCCCGAACTCTCCCAGTCCCTAGCCATCTCAACAAGACACCTCAGTGTTCATGTACTAAAAACTTCCTGCCTGTCCCACCTGGCCTTTGTTTCACCCTTGTCATATCCTGGGCTCAGCCAACTGATCTGAACCCTCTCCTACTCCAGACGGTCCTACTTAAGGCCATGTCATTCATGAGCTAGTTTTCCTCTGCTAGACCTGGCTAGGACCGCTCTTTCACAGTAGGCTTATTGGTGTGAACTGCTTTGAACTGCAAACACAGAGCCTCTATGCCCCAGCATGGCTGTGATCTGGCTGTGGATTTACACCTAGCATGGTGTACTGGGGCCATGGTTCACCCTGTATCTCTGCACTTTGCCTGGTGACTGGAGCACAGGTGCCTGCCACCTTCTCCCACCTCTACCCGGTGTTATTAGATCATGTCCTTCCCTTTGCAGAGGAGGATAGCTCAAGCGTGGACCTGAATGCAACTCAGCCTGGTCAAAACCCTGTGGCCCTGTCTCGAGGGAGACGAAGCCTAGGTGAGTCTGGGATGTTGCACCTTGTGGTTGTCGTGGCACTAACCTGAGCAGCTGTAGGTGGGTGCAGGTGCAAGTCTGAGATACATGTGCTGAGATAGAGGTTGAAATGTGCTGTGTGCATGGATGTGTAGACAGATGGGAAGGAGGGTCTGGGCCTTGTGTGACAGCGGGTTTTATATGCCCCAGCAGTGTAGGAGAGGGAGCCTGGAGCTCTGCAAGTTGCTCTGTTTTAAATCCCTCAGGTGTTGATTTGGTGTAAAAAAGTGTCATCTCCTGCCTAAGACCGTCGCCGCAGTGAGAAGCATCGTTTTGTTGGGGGCTCTCTCATAGGCCACTGTCCTGTCCAGAGAGGGAGCTGGATGGCTGGGAGGAGGGGAAAGAACATATGTGTGTGTGTGGGAGAGCAGTGCAGTCTCTTTCTCTTCCAGTGGAGGTGGCTGCAGCAGGTTGGTAACAGCTGCAAAGCCTATTTCACCCTCCCTCCTTCTCTTGGCCCTCCGTAGATGCTCTGGCAGCAGCAGAGCCAGCTGTCCTCGCAGAGTGCAAGACACGGGCGGTGGTCTTTGAAATCTCCCGCAACATGGTGGACAGCACCAATGCCAACTTTGTGGTGTGGCCACCCTGCGTGGAGGTGCAGCGGTGCTCCGGGTGTTGCAACAACCGCAACGTGCAGTGTCGCCCCACGCAGATCCGTGTCCGGCATGTCCAGGTAAGCGAGACCCTTTCCGCAGCTCCCTCCTCTCACAGCCCGCCTCCACCTCCAACCCCCCAAAAGAAAACCACAGCAAGTCTCATGTACAAGGCTCACCCAGCTGTCTTTTCCCTAACACTTCTCTGCAGTCACGTCTTCTGCCTTAGCCGTGCAGCACTGCAGCCTCTCGCCCATGGTGAGGTCTGTGCTAGCTGCTTGGAGGACTGGTGCTGTCCAGCAGCTGGGGACTGTCACCGTAGCAGAGCTACAGGGCACCGTCCCCAGCTGCAGCCCCGTGCCACGGCCCTCGCTAGTCCTGTGGCTCAAGGCAGCCTTGTCTTCTGTGTCAGAACAGAAAAAACAGGATAACACACTACAGGAGCTGTCTTTGATGCAAAAAGAGGAGGACCTGTAGTTTTTTGTGCTCTGTCTCCCAACTGTTGCTGCATCTCCTTCCCAAGACACACACTGAAGCAGCTTCTCCTCTTTCACAGCCCTGCCGCTACCTCTTGACCCGGTCGGGCTGCAAGCAGACACCTGACAGCTAACCTCTTGCTCTGATCCTGCCCACCTCCCAGCTAATAGTGATCTTCTCACAGCTTCCTCCCAGACAGCTTGTTTAAAAATAATACTCATCCCATACTAGTCCTCTGCCTGAGCTGTAAGAGACTCCCCCAGGCAGACGGCAGAGGTTGGCGGGGAGAGATTGCATTCAAACAGCCCGTTTCATCAGGAAATTCCTTTCTCAGAAAAGCCAGGCTGAATGAGGGAAAAATGGTGCGGGGGGGAGGAACAGGAGTTGTTTTTGTGGAAAAAGCAAGCAAGAGGTCAAAAGCCAGCCAGAAAAAGTGACCTGGAAATGGTTTCTTTGAGGACAGAGGTCTCTCTATTGTTTGGCTGGAAGTGTTTGTCTAGCGAGCAGCGTGTGGTCTGAAGCGTGTGGAGTGGGCTTTCAAGGAAAGATAAACAGCCTGGCTGCTTCAGCACTGGCCGAGGGATGCTGCTGGGGGCAGTGGGTTTAGAGGAATTCAGTCCCAGACTCACAGCAAAGCAAGTATTTATAGCTTGCAGAGCACTTCAGGGACTGTGGTCTTGTTAGATAAGCCAAACAGGGTCAGGCCTGGCCACTCCTGAAGTGGGAGAACTCCCCTAGAAAGCTTATGCCCTGTGGTGGGATGTGGAGAAGTGAGTTTTCCCTCTGAGTCAGCACCGATGGAGAGTCCGAGGGAATTTCCAGAGCACCACCTTTCCCATGAAACGCACAGCTGAGAGCTTCAGCCCTGCGAGTTATTAAAGAGCTTGAGACAAATTCAGACAGGCCTCAGCAGAGCTGGTGAGGCTGCATTTGCTTATGTCGGGCCTGAGTTATGCTGTTTTTGCCCTTTCTGTAGGATCCTGTGGCAATTAATTCTGGTTGCCTCCAGGTCTCTGCCATCATGGCACATCCCATTCCACTCACGCCATGTTTCTCTATGTGGTCAACCAGTTATCCCGCTCCACACCAGAAACAGCTGCAAGTTAGGAATGGGGGAAAGAACCAGTCACATCCAAACTTGCCTGGTTTAGGTCTGCTCTGCCTATGTGTGCAGAAGTTGCTCCAATACACACTGCCTCTGAATTTGAACCATGCTCCATAAACTGCCTTCTGACCCTTTAGGAGGAAAGCCAGTACAGAGGCATACTGAGATTGATTACTTTAACAGAGTGGGAGCTACAGCTGCATTCATCTTTTGAATGCCTCTCTCTCCCACACAGGTGAATAAGATCGAATTTGTCCAGAGGAAGCCAATATTTAAGAAAGTCGTCGTGCCTTTGGAGGACCACGTGCAGTGTCGGTGTGAAGCGGTGTCTCGTCAGCCTCCCAGAAACAGCCGGCCAGGGCAACGTGAACAGAGACGTAAGAATCTTGGCATTAGTAGAGTGGAAAGAGGCATGAGAAGAGAGGCTGGGGAGAGAGGAACCAGCTCTCCATTGGTTTAAATCTGCTTAGCTCCAGTGAATCCCATGGGCCTTTGCTGATTTATACCAGCCTAGGAAACTTTCCCAGGATGTCTGCCATCTGGCAAGGGGTTGAAACCAAGGGAAATGAAGGAGGGGAAGGTGAGAGACAAGGAGGGAAGACAGCTTGGGGAAAAGGAGAGGGTGTAGAGCAGAGAGTGGCAAAAGAAGAACGGAGGATGAGGACCTTGTGGTGCCCCTCTTGCAGAGCTCTTTGTTGGTAGTGAGTGGGGAACGGTATTTCAGCTTGACCTGGCTGCCCCTCACCATACAGACACGCTCTCCTCTGTTTTGGCAGGCTTGTCATCATCGTTCACCACAGCTGCTGTCTCACAGAGGCAACGAGTACGCCGGCCGCCAGCACAGAAGAGGAAACATAAGAAGTACAAGCATGTCAACGATAAGAAAGTGCTGAAAGAAATCCTCCTAGCATAGAAGTGCTGGCAGGGGAGAGAGAACACAAGGCAGGTAACAGCAAGCTGCTTTTCCAACCGAGAGAGATGTTCTCCCAGGACACAGTTCTGCCTAGACACTTCGGACATTTCCCACAGCACTGGTTGCTCATTCAGCCTGGGGTTACTGCAGGACCTGAGCATGATAGAACCAGGGTCACAGGAGGGGAAAAGATTAGGCTGGGACCCACACGTGCATCCTATTTATGGCTCTTTGTAGAGGTGGAAGGATCATGCTGCCACCCGACCTTGCTCTTCAGCCCTGCCCACCCTTTTCTCTGCATCTCTTAAAGCCAGACAGTGAGCCTGACCTCTCTCTACACCTAAATCCCCTCAAGGTCTCTGTTATTCATCTTTTTTGTGGAGCAGCTCCTGTTCTCCTTTCTCTATTGATTCTCCGTTGAAAGCAGAGAATGAATGTTGCTCTGGGGATCCCTTTTGCTTTTATTTCTTTAGTTGAGTTGGCAGAAAGACTCAGAAGCAGCAACACTTTTGGTTCATCTCTCTCCTAGCAGGAAGTCTGTGTGCATAAGAAAGGTCATACAAGGGGAAAGGAGAACTGGAATCTCTGGCAATAGATCTGGATTTTGTCAGTCCAGGGTCTGATTCTTCTCTCCCTGACTTGTGTAAACAGGAGTAATTCCCTCGTCATCAGAAGAATTTTACTGGTACAAGCAAAAAGCCCTGGTTCCTCATGTGAGAGGGAAAGGTGCATAAAAGAAAGAGTAGCCTGGGCATGGAACTTGGGGGCTGAATTTAGAAAGAGGCAGTACAGGCTAATAGTGAAAGCCCTGGCCTGTGACTCAGCAGTCACAGCTCTGCCACAGCCTCTTGAATGAGCCTGGACCAGTCACTTCACTTCCCCTTGCCTCATGAGAGGGAGACGACAAACTTCCACTGTGTTGCATTTCAGGAGCTAGGGATGAGGGGCGCCAGGTATCTTGGGAGTATTATTCCCACACTTAGCCCTACAAGGGCTCTGATTATCCCAGGATCCCTCTGGCCAGCCCAAAGTTCCCAGGGTATAAATGATGCAAAACCATGCAAATCTCAGCTCTGGCTCAAGCTGTCCAGGAGGAAAAATAGAGGTCAAAAGCCCTCCTGGGCTTTTAATTTGGCACTTCAATGCAAACATTTCCAGAGGAGAAAAAGAGAGGAATGGAATTGCAGGGGAAGAGGGATATGTATTCTAATGCTGTGTGTGTTTTTTTTTCTCTTCCAGGTTTATTTAATATATTTGCTATATTGCCCCCATGGGGTCCTTGAAGTGATAACTTTTCCTCTTTGTCTGTCTGCCTCGACGTATGATTCAGACGGCAAATGGTGCTTCCCTTTCCATCAGTGGACCTTCTCCCACCAAAGTCTCTCCCTTCTTTCATTTATTAACATCATTTTAAAGTTTTACAAAAAAAAAAAAAAGACAAACACAACTTATATATATAAGAAAAGAACAAAATACAAATACAACCATGAACCCCATCAACCACAACACGCGGTGAGGACAGGACAATGCCTTCCCTACTCCAGAGGACAGGATGGAAAATGTGAAAAGGAAAGTGGGTCCAATTTCTTCTGAGAGGAGGAGAAAAATGGACAGAGGGAGGAGGGGAATATTCTTCCTTTTCCTTGTGTTTCTGGTAAGGCTGGGGGGCTCGGCTGAGACCAACACTTGCACTGGACCTACTTTTTCAAAACAGGCATATCTCAGATTGCAAGCGGCAACCCATGATGGAAAATGCACTAAGGACTTTTATCACCCTACCTGGACAGATCTATATTTTTAATGTGCGTGTGTATATTTTATTTTAAAAAGAAAAACCAAAACCACTAGAATATACAACATCTCGGGGAACAGAAAAAAAAAAAAAAGAAAAGAAGCCAAATGCATTCCCTCCCCATTTTCCCCTCCTGCTCCTGGTACTGACCAGAAGGCGTTTGGATTATGGGGAAGGAGCAGACGGCTGGCAGAATCGTCTCCACACCCCTGGCCCCTGACAAGGGGAGCCATCTTTGCACATGCTGGTGGAGAATTCAGCTTTCCAGGCTCGGACTCAGATTATTTTTTAAATTTGCTCTGTATGTGTGCGCCTGTATATGTGTGTATATATATATATATATACCTGTGTGTGTGCGGGTGCGTGTGCGCGTGTGTGTGCGTGCGTGTGTGTGTGTGTGTGTGTGTGTATGTGTGTATTTATACATACATATATATACATATATATATATATATAAAATATATATATATGTTCTTAAATGGATTTCATTCCCCTGTGGCAGGAACCTCAGCGGCATGTGCATGCATCAGCTTGGGTGGGCTAGAAGAAAAGCACACTTTTTCTGCAATATTACTCAGTGCCTGTGGGGTCTGAGATAGGACAGACAGAGGCACAGTCTGATCTCTCTCTGTCTTGTTGCCCTTTTCTCTCACTCTCCACCAACCCCCCACCACAACTTCCTTGCAGGAGGCGAAGTGGCAGGACAACAAGACCAACAAGAGCCAAACTTAGAAGCATGACTTAATCTAAATGAGCTGTCCTTGCCTGTTCTGTAGTCCTGAAAGCAGAATAATGTCATTCCCCTGAGCTTTTTAACCCCTTAATGGATGTCCTGTGCACCATGCCCTCATTGCTCTCCCTGTCAGTGTCCCTGGATCTCCCATCTTTTTCCTCACATCATCGCTCTCAAATTCCTTCATGCTCCTGGATTTTACCTATTAGATGATCCAAGTCCACTGAGCTTGGAAGTAGGTCCAAGATGTGGGTAGCTGTATGCAGGTATAAAGAAAGTAATGAGGATGACTCCTGCTGTTCGCAGCAGCAATCAGGCAGAAATGAGCCCTCTGAGAAACAACTGGGTGGTCAGTCACAGAGTCCCTCCCAGGCCACTGCAAAATCTCTCTTGAGAAGGACTCCCTTCTGGCTGGCAGGGGTCATTTCTGCACAAGCAATAGTCAGTCATAGCGGAAATGTTATTTATGCTGGGAATTTTCAGTGTCACCTTGGCGTCCCAGTCTCGGATCCTGCCATGCTGGACACTGCAGAGTTACATGAGGAGAAACCCTCTGCCCTGAGAGAGAGCTGCAGTTCCTGCCTGCCGCTCCTGCCAGCAGCCATTTCTCCCAGTTCTTCCTGACATACACACTGCTGATGCAGAGCAAAGTGCCAGAAAGAGCTGGGGGCAGGAGGTGAAGCCACAACCTGGGAGCTGTTACAAGTTGCCGTGGACTCAGCCCTCGCCTCCTGCAAGCCTAGAGCACTTTTGATAACCGCTGCCAAGGCTGCACCTTGCTCCATTCCTCCTACGCTAAGCCCTCAAGTCTTAAGACACTTTGTTTTCCTGTTCCAAAATCTGTCTCCTTTGGTTTGTAAAGATGGTGAGGTTTTATTTTATTTTAATTTTTTTTGGCTTTTTTTAATGTAAGATTAATTTATACTCAGTACTGTATTTAAAGTTGTAAAAAAAAGGAAAAAAAAAACAAACTAAATCTCTCAACCACATTTTCTCTTTCTTTTGTGAGCTGAATGAAATGCAGAGGCGCAAACAATTCACCATGGGCCACAGATGGATTCTCAGGGGCTCCACTTTAATTTTTAGGACACTTAAACTGAGATTACAGAGAGACAGCAACCTAAGTTGGGAAAGTCCTGCTAGCTCATCTGCTGTATGTGCGCATGCACGTGCACACAAGGCAAGCACTGATGAACCCTTTCCTCCAGCATGTTTCACACCTCACAGTCTAGATTTAAATGACTCAGGCCATGGGGATTTCTTTATCGAAGAGGTCCTCTTAGCTGCTCTGCTCGGAGGCCAAGCCAGACTTTCCTTGCGCTTTATTTGATCTCCAGATTCCCCTGCTTTGAAGGACTTAGAACAAATCACAGTGTTTACACTCTTCAAAGCCGTGTAAACAGTTAGCCTATCCCCTCCTTAGTCATACCGTCTAGACAACATCAGTCCTTTCCTCTTTAGGACTCCGACAGCTTTTGTGTTTCCCTTTCCTCAGAGCAAGGGAAGTACTGCGTGTGCAAGGCAGCTGCCTCCTGCCACAGGCAGCAAACATGACTTCAGGCAAAAGCAGCCCCTGGGTTTGCCACGGTGTGTGAGCAGTGGCTGGAGTCTCCTGCTCCGATCAGCGCAGCCTCTGCCCGTGCCTCAATTTCCAGAGCCTGCTGCAGCATGTACTGCACCCCAAGACCATGGCTCAGCTCTCGGGAACGTAGACCCGAGTGAGGACTCATCCTGCGATGGCAAATCCAGGGAGCTCGGTGTCCGGATCTTCTCCAGGCTCTCCTTGACATACAAGCCTGGCCCTCCAAGGAGTGTATCTTATTCCAGCATCCATCATTTTGGGGTGAGGGCAGTTTGCCCTCCTCTGCCAAAGGGAGCTGGAGTAAGGGTGACCCCTACCTGCTGCCTCCACAGCACGTGGGAGGGAAAGCACTGGCAAAATTACAGAGGGGATAATAGTTGTGTCCCTGCTGTAATTTCCTTGGTGTAGAAATTGCGTTTGGGATAATCCAGTGCTAACAAAGATTTTAGGGTGAGACTTCTTTCGTTTTGAGGGCATGCCTGCAGGCAGTTTTTGGGGAACAAGGGATGCCCCCAGAGGGCTGTGCTGCCATTCCAAGGGACCTGGACAGGCTGGAGAGTTGGGCGGAGAGGAACCTCATGAAGTTCAACACAGGCAAGTGCAGGGTCCTGCACCTAGGGAGGAATAACCCCATGCGCCAGTACAGGCTTGGGGGGGTGACTTACTGGAAAGCAGCTCTGCAGAGAAGGGCCTGGGAGTCCTGGCGGACAACAATTTGACCCTAAGTCAGCAATGTGCCCTTGTGGCCAAGAAGGCCAATAGTATCCTCTGTGCATTAGGAAGAGTTGTTAAGGCAGAAACAGGTTGAGGGAGGTGATCCTGCCCCTCTCCTCAGCCCTGGTGAGGCCTCACCTGGAGTACTGTGTCCAGTTCTGGGCTCCCCAGTACAAGAGGACATGGAGCTCCTGGAGCAAGTCCAGCGGAGGGCTACTAAAATGATGAAGGGACTGGAGCATCTCTCATATGAGGAAAGGCTGAGAGAGCTGGGGCTGTTCAGCCTGGAGAAGAGAAGACTCAGGGGGGATCTGATCAATGTATATAAGCATCTGAAGGGAGGGTGTGGAGAGGATGGGGCCAGACTCTTCTCAGTGGTGGCCAGCAATAGGATGAGAGGCAACGGGCACAAACTGAAACACAGGAAGGTTCACCTGAACATGAGGAAAAACTTCTTTCTTGGGAGGGTGACTGAGCACTGGAACAGGTTGCCCAGAGCGGTTGTGGAGTCTCCTTCCCTGGAGATATTCAAAACCTGCCTGGACGTGATGCTGTGCAATGTGCTCTAGAGGACCCTGCTTGAGCAGGGGGGTTGGACTAGATGATCTCCAGAGGTCCCTTCCAACCTCCACCACTCTGTGATTCTGTGATTCTGTGTGAAAGAGGTGCAAGCTGCAGGATGTGTCAGTGCATTCAGCCTACTTCACTCCTGCCAGGGGGATGGAGGAAGAGCTGACATCCCACTGGCCACCTTGGTCTTCCCCTGCCCTTTGCAAGCATGCAGCCTCACTACGGCAGTCTGAGGGAACACGTACAAATCCATCTAAACTCCACAAACTTGATTTCTGCGTTAACAACTCTAAATGAATAGGTGTTGAAAGAAACTATGGGCCTGAACACCTTGAGTTAACTCTGCTCTAGTGCCTTGTGTTCACTCACAGCAGCTGCTCCAGTGCTGACTTCAACAGTGTTTGATTGCGACATCTTGGCACAGATTCAGCACAGGTCAGGATAGTGCATAGGAAGACAGGTTCCCATAAAGCTTCTAAAGGCTCAGGTAGGTGATTTAAATACACCCAGAAAGTCAAGTTTGGCAATTGGACATAAAACCCTGCACCTCAACCACGTGCACAGGGAGAAGCCCCCGGAGACCTTCAGCGCACCATGGGAGAGGGTTTACTCTGTGCAGGGGTGCTGGCTTGGCTCACCCCATGCTACAGGTGAGGTCTGAAGATCCAGAGAGTCTTGGCAACTTTCCCTGTTTTAATTGCTGTTGTAACAGTGACTGCTGTTTTACCTAAAGGCCCATCCTCAGGATATAAGTCATTCAACGGGAAGTTCATCTTTTGTTAAAGAAAATGCATCTGGCCTTTGAGGCAGTAGAGAGAAACTTCAGAATTTGGTCCTCCTGCAGGAACACAGCTTCCAAAAGCCGCAGGCAAATCAAAAAGCATGCTAAATGGATTATTCATACACAAAAAACAAACCCTTAGGTTTTAAAGCCAATCTCCAGGCTTTTTAGTGTGGAGGGTTTGCAATGCTTGAAGCCATTGCATGGCCAAATGAAGTAACAAATCAGTTTGCAACAGTTTCCTCCCTGCATCCAGGAAAACTTTTGAGTATTTGCTTATTTTATTGGTGTCCAAGAATGAGACTGACTTAAAGTCATCCCTATGCCTGGCTATGGCTTGAAGGAAGAGCTTTCTTCAGATCAGCCAAGTGTCAAGCCCGGTCCATGGCACTAAGCCCACACAGGCATTGCTCTCCCCATGATCAGCTTGCGTCTTGCTGGCATAAGCTGTGCCCCCCACGCAGTGGCTGGCGCATCCCATTACAGCACCTGCCCACACTCCAGGAGCAGCTGGGAGAGGGCTCGCTGGGAGTTGTGGCCGTCTCATGGGATCTTGAGCCCGGATGGGCTGCGGTGCAGGCTGCGGGCATCTGGATGTGCCACCCAGTGCCTGTCCGAGGTCATCCCCGTCTGACTGTGCATGAGTGAGTGCTGAGCGGGCGCTGGGGGAGGAGAAGCAGGCTGTGCCCAGGGGAAAGTGGAAAACAAAAAAAA